ATTTTGCAATATCCTTCCCCTGGAGTGGGGTGGGAATAGGGATTTTGCAATATCCTTCCCCTGGAGTGGGGTGGGAATGGAAGTTCTGCAGTATCCTTCCCCTGCCATGCCCACCAAGCCACACGAGCTCCCCGTGGAGATTCGAACCCTCACCACCCTCCAGGCCTTCCGCAAAGCCCTTAAAACCTGGCTGTTCCGACAGGCCTGGGGCTAATTGAGCTTTTGTTCCCCCCCTCGAATGGTATGGTTGCTGTGTGCTTTTAAATTATGGTATTGTCTTGTTTGTCTTTTTATTCCTTATTTGTACACACACACACACACACCCCTTGACTTGGGTTGTGAGCCGCCCTGAGTCCCCTTCAGGGAAAAGGGCGGCATAGAAATATAATAAATTCAATTCAATTCAATTTTGAGCTGAAAGGTGAGATATTTTACCATTTTTGAAGACTTTTCCGATCCCTTTAATGGCCTGGTATCGACTTCCCCGGTCCCCTTCCATGTAGGGGAAGACTCGAGCCTGGTGGGTCCAGTAGTAGTCCTTGGAGCCAAAGAAGAAGACGGGGAACTCTCCAATCTCGTGCTTCATCTTCTGGATGTTTGGGGGGACGTTTTTGGGATGGCAGACTTCGGCCGGCCACCACCTGGCACAGGAAGAGCCCGGCAAAGAGGGAGAAATTGAGGCTGGTGCTCCTGGCTACCTCGACCTCACAGAGGAGGGTTGTGTTACCTCTATCAAAGGTCTTTCTACGCACAACCCCCCCCCGCCCCCCACTTTTCTGGGCTCCAAAGAGGACGGAGACACAATCATACACACCGACAAAAGATTGTTTTTTCCAAATGTTGAAATTATGTTTATAAATCCAAACCTGTAATTTCCCAGTTTGACCCAAATAATATCTTGGAAATGGATTTTCTTCCCTGCTTTGCAGTCGTTGCAAAACCAGCTTCCGTCCGGCATTTCAATGTTTAAACAGTCGGGATGGAACGCAGCAGGACAAGACTCACAACACAACAGGCTCCCCCCTGTCACAAAAGGCACACAAAACAACCCTCAGGGACGGGAAAAGCTAGCCTAAAAATGCTAAACCTGTTTCACTCTAAGGACTAAAGCCCAAATCCATGCAACCAAGAAGGAATTATGCACCTAGAGGGTGTCTGCCAGAATCTCCTTTGAGAACAGCAGTGGGAGGAAGGCTGGCAGATGTGCCTCAACACCTCCCTTCATGACCCAAGAAAAACCAGAAGCCCAAAGCCCGAACCGTGTTTGCTAGACAGCATAAAAGAGGACCAAGTTTTTGGAGCAGATTTCAGGAATCAAATGGGGGGTGGGGGGAGCAGCCGGGAAGTTTTCTCCCTTGCCCCACCTGGGTTCCACCACAAAACCGCGGGGGACAAAATCGCGCTCGACGAAAGCACGCATTTGACGTCATCACAGCACGACGAAAACATATTAAAAATT